TGGAGGCAGGACACATGCTCAGTCTCAGTGAGACATTCTTGTTGAAAAGCCACATGGAGACAGGCTGATGGCAGCCAGAACCTCAGAGCTAGAGAAGCCACATGGAGACTCCTGCCAGCGCTGAGATGCTTACACTGCCACTGGATCCACAAGACTTCCCACCCACTGCTCTGTGATCTTCCTGCATCATTGCAGGTGCTTCGTGAGTCTGAAGAGGACTTTATCGATTGGTATCAGTGCTAATATAGGACTTATGGATTTTATTGGAACTCGGTTGGGATGGCTTCTCAATGTATGATTACTCTTTATATAAAACTCTTTCTTACACACATATGGGTGTCTACGAATTTGTTTCAACATGGACTTGCACAATATTTTTAAGTGATTATATTAAATGTTAAACATATTACGTACCTTGTATTATAGCAATATGTTCTCACATTGATATCTTCCACATAGAAATGATGTCCCCAAGGATGGGAACTGTATATCTCTGTATGTCTTCTCACTCTCTAATTGCTGAACTAGTTATTAGCGTGTGAGGCATGAGTAATAATTTATTAAATCCTAAATCACTGAATTTATTCTACAACCATATTCTATTTATAATTTTAAATATGAAGTTCTTAACAAACAAAATCATTGGACTAAAATTATGTAATTTTTCCTAAATTTAGTGATAGGAAGATTGCAAATCTTCATAATTTGATTTTGGTTCATAAAATAGGTTATTATCCCAGTTTTCAGTGCCCCAATTCCTGTGTAACAGTATACGGAAAAGAATATAAGTGCTTCCCCTATCTCTTAGTCTGCATTATATCTGCTTGCCAGTCAATTTCTCTTATAATTGGAATTGTTATTTAGAAATATCAGTGTCAGTTTCAATAATCAAAAGCACTATCTATACTGATAAAAAGTTCTAATGGGTCTGGACGTCATCCAATACAAAGGATCATTGAACATAGTCATATTAAATAAAATTTTAAAAAATACAAAACTTTGATTAAATATGTAATATACTTGTGGTTCCAATCTGAAGTTATGTTAGGATTCTTCTAAATCATTTTAAAAGTCATTAGTGAGTATTCTTCTAAATCATTTCAAAAGTCATTAGTGAGCATTAGTTCATTGATTTCCAAAGCATCACTATCTTTACAAATTACAAAGCTAAATGGGAAAGAAATGAAAAATGACTTCTCTCCTGCCAGTGGTTTATTTATATCTATGTCTATATATTTTGTTATAATTGCTAGAACTCTTGATTTTCAAGATTAAAGATACATCCAAAGGAAATAATATCTTCCAGAGTACCCGCAACATGACTCTAAGCAGTTTTAATTATTTAAAAACCAACCAACAAACAGCTTTTGAAATAGAATATGATTGAGATAACGTGTTGGACTTGAATTTCAACATAACTCTGAAATCACTGCCTATACTTGGTGCAGAATATGATGTATACTTAATCATTCGATGGAGAAATATGTGTCAATGTAAGTGCACTGTTTCCACTAAGGGAAATCAGGTGATTAAAACAGGCCCCTTCCCCCATGGTCTGGTACTCATCTTCAGTTTGTTACACCGTGCCTGCTGCTGGAAGCCATGCCACCAGTATTTCATAGACCAGGATAGTCACCATGGTGGAGAGCTTTCAGCTGATCTTTCAGACTCAGCTGAAAGTCCTGGCAATCTACCGACCCTTGAAAAGGAGCTGACAAAAACCCTGTGCATTACAGCAGAGTATTATCAGATTATCATATAGAGTGCTGGAAGACGAGCCTTCCAAATTGGGGGTGCTCAAAATACAGAGTGGCTCCCAGGCTGGATGAGAGCATATGCATGGCACTGGAGATGGCACTGCACCAGGCAACGTTGTCTTTGGTTTGTCATGAACCAAAACCTGCTCCATGGTGACTAGCCGCAACACAACTCTTTTATAATGTCATCCAGGGGGAGTAAATGACGATGAGAAATTAATAGGAAAATAACCTATGGTGAAAATACTGAAAAATGCTAGAGATCATGATGCTAAACGAGAAGGCATCAGTTCCCTATGCCTTGATTCATGGCACTAGGGAGGCCTGTTTGAGTCCTATGAAAATAATAGTGGTTACCCTCAATTTAAGGCCTCTCTGTGTTGCAAGTGGTTTGCAATCAGCTGTTAACCTAAAGGTTGATGGTTCAAAATACCTCATTGTTCCACAAAAGAAAGACAAAGAGAATTGTGTTTGTAAAGTGTGCAGTCAAAAGTACCCTATCGAGGCATTCTATGCTCAAACACATGGGTTATCATGGGTTGGGTTTGGTCTGGTTGCCCTCAATGTAGGAGATGTTGTTTTGAGAAAAGTTGTATTTATATAGTTAGTGTCTTTGACATTGCAGATGTTTAATAAATGTTCACAAATGCAATCAACAAGGACACCAAGGCTAGACATCTGAAAATTCTCAGTAACAAATATAAATACACCTAATCCTCACTTTTTGATGATCGCATTAAATATTTTACATTTAGAACAATGGTGAAAAAAGACCTATTATCTGATTATTTTGTGCATTAACAGTGTACACCTAAAAGTAATGAACTCTGAGGTGTTTGGCAAGAGTAGTATTGGGTTGTGAGTGTCGATGCTAAGTGCCAACATGGTTTGGCAATTCTGTAAACATAATTTGGCAGTTGTGTCATGATGCAGTCATCCTCCATTTTGTGATGAGATTTGATCATCCTCCATTTTCAAATAATGGCGTTTTCTTCACATAACTACCTTGTCTTTGGAACCTAATGAACCATGTCAAGAAGTGAGGAGTGAGCATATATTCAAATACATATTGAAGAACAAGTACAATCCTAATATTGTGGATGCTTACCCCTATTGTTCCAAAGCTTTCTGGCTTCCGTCTCATCTTTTTCTTGCACAGGTGTGTCCATATCCACTTGATCAGGTACCAGAGAGACTTGGGGCTTGGGATGACATTGAAGGGAGTCGGCAGAGTACCTCCTTCTTCAAAGTAACTCATCCAAAGCTTTGTTCGAGCAAATTTCCATTCTATATCTGCGTGGTCCTGAACAGGAGAACACAACAGCTGACTGGGTTCTTAATCAAGAAGGTGAGATAAGTCTCACAGAGCGCTTGTAACATGACTTTGAGTGGCTCTTGGAATGGGAATTACATTTCTTATAAAAATACTGCTGACTCCAGGCGATAAATTATCTAACCATTTCCGGGTATGGCTTTCTCAGGGAAGAAGACACAGGATGCATGTCACTTTCCATCCTTCCTTCCTCAGTGAATGGCCAGCTGGTGGAATTCCACGTTACATAGATGGCAGGGACCAAGTATGGCTGAAGATGACTTTGGATTGCCCGCAGTGTGGGCTTATGTTACTCTGTCTCATTAGATTCAGGCCAGGAAAAAAAAAGACTTTGTATTTTACCTAATCCCTGAACCCCTGCCGAGGTGAATGCCCCTACCTGGATGCTCAGGATAGCTCTCCAGTGTGTCAGATGTGGGGAGGGGGCGGGCTGGGGGATTTACTGAGTATGCTTCTCTGGTGAATAACTCCTGTCAACCTTCAGGCATCCTGCACAGTCAGAAGGAGATTCTTTGAACAAATATGGAACTACGTCTCACTGGTACAGCGTTAGGAGCTCTGGAGGCACAGTGGGTTACGATTGAGCTACTAAACACAGCATCGTGGAGTTGACACCATCAGCCACTCCGAGGGAGAAAGATAAAATATCAGAAACCCTACGGAGTAGTGCCACTAGAGTCTATAGGGCCATCATGAGTTGGAATCTACTCAATGGCAGAGAGGCTGGCTCTTTGATTAGGGACACAGTATTGAGCCTTGCTATAACTTTGGCCACATGATGGTGTCCCAGAGCCTGACACCATCCTCCTCCTCATGTATCACTCACAACTTTTATTAGTTGCCTGGAACCACTTTGGATCATTTTTACTTATTTGTTGATTATGGTATGTATACAATTAACAGCACATTCGCCATTTCTCAATTGTCCTTTGCACAGTATAGTGGCATTGATTGCATTCACCTTTCTGTCCAGGTATAACCATTAACTTTGGAGTATTTGTGGAAATTGTATGTCAGTCATTATTATCCCCTTAAATTAGCCATAAATCTAATTTAAGCAGAAAATCTGGGGAGAGGTGGAAGAAAGTACAGACGCATGACATTAAAAATAGTTCATTATAATCCATTAATGTTATCAAAAAGAACTCTAATTTTAGAGTAAGAGAAGAATCTCAGCCTGTATTTAATTCCACCACTCCTAAATTGTGATGTGCTGGTGAATGCATGTGCTATATATACATTTAAACTCTGCACAATAGAGATTTTAGTCTAGACATTGAGCAGTTTGATTTTCAATGAGAATCAGTACATCCAGAAAAGGCATAGAGAATGTGCTCAATGTCATACTAAAAGTCAGTCATGGAGATAAAAGTGCTTGTTTGTGAGGCCCAAGGCCCCTTTTAATTATCTGATTCTTCTGGGGTCCAAAATCAATGACATCCAAACACAATGATTCTCTTAGTTTTATCATATGACAGACTTTTGCTTCGTGACTTATGATTCTGAGAGAGCCGGTTACAAAATCTTAGTGATTAGAAAATGACAAAGATGGGAAATTCTAAGTTGGTGACATCAAAACCCACTTTCCTTTACACAAATACCACATTCTCACTCCTAGTCAACACTTAAAGCTGGTTCAGTCGTTCCTCTCCTAGTGCCCGCATGGACTTCCTCAACTCTTGGCTCTCTCCCTATTCCCATCCCAAGTCATGGTGCTCTTTTCGGACATTCCTCATTGTTTTGGTTAAATTCTCCATCTCAATCCTAAAATTGTGCTCTGATTTTTTTTGTCCCTAATACAATCTTTCTTTCTGGAGAACAGAGGCTTTGTTCCCCATTGTCTGTCTTCATAAACTTGAGCTGTTATATGGCATATCTTAGGGGTACAATAAATACTCGATGGACAAATGATATTGACTGAGCAGAAGGCTGTAGACGCGGCATTCATTTCAGCTGCTGACTGCTCGTGTTACCCCTGATTTTATCCAACATCTTTGCGTTAAGGGCAACCAATCAACCAGTTTGTTGCCATCATCCCAACGCATGGAAATCTCCTGCGTACTGAAGAGAACTAAAGTCCACAGAGGTTTATCGGCTACACCCTTTCAAAAACAATTAGCCAAGGTTATCTTCTTGGTGTCTTATGGTTAGTTGGCAAGCGCTTAATGGTTTGCTCCATTCAGGTCCTCCTATATTATATAAGGACCGTAGGACAAAGAGAGAACGCTCTCAGGGTAAATTCCACGATTCTGGGACAAGTGAAACTAAACATTCTTGGCAGGCGTATGCTCAAGGAGACTTCCGATGTAGCAGGGGGCGGGGGAGGATACTCCTGCCTTAGGTTCACAGTGTCTGCTATCCTTTTGAGGAGTTTCAGAGTTTGTTCTAAATAAGGACAGATACTTGATGAGACTTGTCTCCTATAACGACATAACACCAAAGGAATCAAAAATAGAAAATGTCATACTATTCTCATGTAATGTTCTTTTCTTGATGAAATTAGGACATTGTTGTAGTTATGTAATTGTCAATTTAAGGACTGAGCTTGTGAGAGTAGAGTCTGGCCTGTTAGTCAGGTCATAGCCAATGAGGCTTTTGGGTGGGCATAGCCTTCCCCTCAGGATTCTGAGAATTCTGGTATTTCCTCCTTGGAGGTGGGAGACTCTCTGCTCACACCCTGGGAAACATAGCAACTGAAGACACATGGACCCACCCTGATGCAGTTCTGGGTGCTGGAGAAGCCAAGCAGAGACCCCTGCCAGTGCTGAGATGTTTCCAGTGCCACTGGATCCAAAGACTTTCTACCCACTGGCCTGTGAGCTACATTCAGCATCAGGGCATGTGTTTCGTTTAAGTCTGGAGGACTTTATAGATTGGTATTGGGCATATGGGCTAATATCGAACTTAGGGACTTGATCTGGACTGGGCTGGGATGTTTTCTCAATGTTCAATTGCTCTTGTATATAAATCTCTTTCTTATACACATATGTGTGTCCATGGATTTGTTTCTCCAGTCTACCCAGACTAACACAGACGTTTAAAGTTCTAAAGGATTCAAATTGTTGGCAGTTTCACTGTCTATATAGCTTGATAATTAAGCGGGATCCTATATACTATTTAACCTACAAAAGAGATTCCAACTTTGGAAATGTGTTGACTAGAAGCAACAGAACTTCTGAAGTAAATATAGAGATAGGATCTGTAAAAATAATATTCTTAGCTGGGTAAGATATTTAAATGAACTTCTACCTTTGCACACATTCTGATCATCTCAGGCAAATCCTAAAGCCTGGTAGAGCCAGAGGATTCATTACACATTGAAAATACTTTAGTCAACCAGTAAATAAAAACAATCTATTCTCATGTTTATATATCTGTGAGAAGTGCCATATGAAAATATTTGCCTCCATAAAGAGTTTAAATAAAATTGAGAGTGCCGTTGCTCCAGACAATGCTAACACCACTCCAGAGGTTTGGCAAGAGATTCAAGGATGTGATATAATATATGGTGAAGACAGAGACATTATCATTAGGCTGGTGAGATGCTACCGGTATAAGGTATAGCTATAAAATCATTAAGAAATGTGAGAATATTTCATTCTACCATGTATTTTGTTTTATTGCTATTGGCCACTCACATGCAAACTCATGGGATAAATGGCTACTTAGTCATTGCTCAATTCTTCATTCCCTAGTTGTGCAGTGAATTATGTGTTGGGCTGGTAACCCAAAGGCCAGATGTTCTAGTCTACCAGCTACTCAATTTGAAAAAGATGAGGCTATCTCTTCCAGTCATGAGTGATAGCCTTGGTAGCCCTAGAGAGTACGTCATCAGACCTGGTCCTGTAGGTGAGCTATGAGTAAGAACTGACTCGATGGCAGGTGGGATTTTTCTGTTGTTGTTCTTTTCCTCTACCCTCCTCTCTCTCTCTCTCTCTCTCTTTCTGTCGTTCTGTTGTTTTTTTTTTTACAGAACAATGGCTGATAACCATTTGTACTTAATGACTATTTGTTGCATGGATGAATAAATAAATCAGGCTATGTTGTTTGGATTCCAGTTATTCAAATAAATGTAGATGAACAAGGTTATTACAATATTTAAGGGGTGCTCGTATATTAATTTTCCCAAATTTCAAGAAACTGAAAATCTGTGATTGTTTTTTTCCTTCTTAGACTTCTTTCTGGGCTCTTTTGTATCTAGCTCTGTGGCAGGAGTTTGCTGAAACTGATATTTTAAATGAAAGGGTAAGGCTAGTGCAAAGTGCAAAGGATACAGTGTAGAGGTGAGCTACTTATTTATCAATCATATCTCACCCACTGTCTGCCAGACCCAGTGACTTCCCAGTAAGGAATATTTAGTCTGATTTGTAACCACATGTAAATAACAAATATGGAGCCCAATATGACTGCTTAGAAACTGAAACAAAATCATTAATATTTTAATTCCATTCTCTTTCACCAATCTAGCTAATCATGGATTTTATTTCTTAGCATGGCAGGTTGGAGAAGAAAGTGGGATTTGGAGAGAATATAGAAATAAAATCAGTCAACTTACAGCAATAAGTTGGTAAGAATTATTCATCATAGCTATTAGCATGTTGAGTAGGACAACAAGAGAGATGACATTATATGTCCCAAACATGGTGGCACCAACAAACTCCGTGAATTCATGCTGCGCTTTGACATTGGTCACATACAAATTGATGAGCCCAAATATTGACCAAAACAGGGACTGCAAGGTCTCAAATAACCTGGAAAAAAACACAAAATTATACTAATAGTTACATTAACAGAAGGAACATAGAATAATATAGGCCATAACAATAGATCGTGGCTCAGCTACACATATTTCCTAAAAAAATAACATGCACAGTAAAATAATAGTTTAGAGTAGTGATTTAGTTTAGAGCAGTCCTGACACTGAGATCCATAAAAAGAATTTGAGGGAAATTCTGAGCAATTATGCAGTATTAAGATTAATAAAGTGTGACACCCGTTGGTCAGTTCATTTATTAGGAATACAGCTCCAATAAGCATAAAAGAGCTTTGGTTAATGAGACCACATGCGGTCTTAATCCCAACTCATGGCCTTCTCTTTGTAGGAGTCCCTTCCCCAAAGACCAATGTATTAAAATTAGATGGAAAAAATTTCATATTTCTTTTATATGTAATTCTTCTCATAGTAATAAGAAAACATGAAAGAAAAATGTAGAAATGGTCATAAGGTGCAAAACCACATGCACAGCGAGATAGACAGACAAAGAAAACCAACCGAACTGCCATCGGGTCAATTCTGACCTAGAAAGAAGACGAATATTGAGCTCACCGTCGCAGGCCATCAGGTAAGGGCTCCTGGAAAAGGTGAAGCTATGTTTGGTTTTGAACCAAAGAATACACTTGGGCCAAACAGGAAGGCAGAAAGGGACCTTTGGGAATGAAGGAGTATGATAGGCTTGAAAATCCGCAGAGCAGCCAGTATGAAGGAACAAGAGAATTGGAAAAGGAGGGGGTATTCGGAAGGGTAATGTTTTGAGTATTGTCTGAGGGTTCTGTGTGCTGATCAGCAGCAGATGATGACACCTGGCAGAGAAGTAGAGTACCCTGACAGGGGCAGCTGGTGTTAGAATCGGAGAAAGAAGGAGGGAGGATGGAAGCAGGTCTAAATTCTCGGAGAAGTCAGCCTTGGGTGGGTGTCGAATTGAGAACTCTGTCTCCCTTGTGTCACCAGAGGAAGTCAGACGTGGCCTCCATACCATCATTCATTATGAAACAGAATTCTGAAGGAATTTGAGGCATATAAGGCTGAGATTCAAATTTTATTCTCATAAAAGCATATTTTGATGAATTAAAATGGCTTTTTACATATTGGTATCAAAAATAAAACACATACTGAATTAAACCAACAAGAAGGTTCTCAGAATTAGCGGTTAAAAACAACAACAACAAGAACCCACTGTCATTTGTCAATTCCCACTCTTAGAGGTCATATAGAAGGTGTCTGAGGCTGTATACTTTTATAGGGGCAGCCAATCCATTTTCTCCCAAAGAGCAGCTGGTGGATTTGAACTGCTAACCTTTCAGTGGCAGCCTGAAGCCTAACCCACAGCACCCCAGGCTGCTCCTAGATAATGCTGGATAAGTGACTTAGTGAAGTTTTAATTTCTTCCCATTTGAGGAATTACTGTACTCTAATCTTACAGCACCCTCTCATCTGACATGTCCAGAGTATTTGGAGCAGTCCCTGGAGAAGGACACCGTGCTTAGTAAACTAGAAGGCAGGGAAAAAGAGGGAGGCGCTTGACACGATGGATTGATACAATGGCTACAATAAGGGCTTCAAACATAAGAACAATTATGCGGACGGTATAGGACCAGGCGGTGTTTTGGTCTGCTGGGCATAGGAGCGCTGGGAGTCTACACTGACGCAGTGGTACCTAACAGCAGCAGCAGCGTACATTGCATTCTAAAACTCGCCACACTTCAGGTCTAAGTCTGAAAGTCACCTACATAAATGATTGTGTTTTCACCTCGTGGTCACTGTAGAGAGGAAAATACCCAACAACTGTATCAATCTGTTAATTAAGCTAAAACACGCTCGTGTGAGTATGTGTGCACACACACACACACACACACACACACACAACTGACATCAAAATAAAACAAGCCAGCTACCATGACAATCCCTTTCTGTAGAGTAGAACTGTGCTTCTTAAGGTTTTCTTGCTTCTGATTTTTAGCTCCTTAAGGTTTTCAATGGCTAATCCATCAGAAGTAGATCACCAGGCATCTCTAGATCTGAAGTGCGATTTTTTTAGTTAGCTGTTGATTGATTAAGGGCTTGTCACATTGCAGGGCTCCTCTCTGACAATTCATTGCCTACTGATCACATTCGGTCAGAAAATGGCACCAGTTATATAGGGCTGAGTGAGGAGCAAACTGGCGATGAGCCCATCATGCCAGCAAACTTCATTGTGACAATTACAAGACAGTGAGAGTAGAGAAGGCTTACTGTTCATCTAGGTGTAAGGGCACAGAGAGTTTTGTGTGAAAAATGATGATGACTTAGATTTGTCTTGGTTTCTATTCTGGTTGTTTTTTTTAATGCTAAGATTTTTTGTAGGGGAAGTAAAAGAGACTTGTAAAGATAATAGGACCTAGAAAACACATGAGAGAAGATTTGAGAATATTCAAATTTTCTTCAAAGACCAATTTTTCAGACATGCTATCTTTTTATGTACTGAAAAATTATCATCCATCTTGCCTGTCAATGTGTTGTACTGTGATGACGTGCATGTTCCTATGTTTGGGAAGCTCTGTAACCAGTGTTTCAAATACCAGCAGAGTCACTTAGCGTGAACAGGTTTCAGTGGCTCTTCCAAACTATGAACAAATTATGATAAAGGAAGAGGCTGCTCCCTTCTGAAGGATTAGCCCCTGAAAACCTTGATTAACATCCAAAGATGGTCAGAGATAGGCCAGAGGAGTCAACCTTAATAATGTGGATGGCCAGCATTTCTAAGCCTTCGTTTGCTGATGGAGCATGAGTCACAATGAGAAAAGACACCTGCCAACATCCACCAGTAATCTGGGCATTAAATCTAGGAAATGGAAATCTAGGAAGATTGAAGGTTGTCAAATGAAAGGGAACACCCACACACCACTATACCCGAGGCAACAGTGAGGTGAAAGTCTTCTCCTCATCAACTCGAATTGGACAGTCACGTGGTTTACTGTGCCACGAGTGACATATTCCAGAGAAATGGAGTCATATTCACCCTCAAGAAGAGCATCTCAAGGTCTATCCTGAAGTACAATGCTGTCTGTGATAGAATAATAACTATGCGCATATAAAGAAATCCAGTCAATACAGCCATTATTCAAATTTGCACACCACACACTAAAACTAGTAATAAAGAATTTGAAGAATTTTACCAATTTCTTTCACCTGAAATTGATAAACATGCAATTAAGATGCATTAAAATTATTGACAAATGGAAAGAAAAAGTTACAACCAAAATGGAAGCAACGGTTGGAAAATATAGCCTCGGGGATAGAAACAAAACTGGAGATGATTTGATATAGTTTTGCGAGACCAACAACTTCATCATAGCAAATATCAGTTTTTCAACCAAAGAAATGGTGGTTATACAGATGGACTTCTGAGTAAAAAAAGGAATAAAGCTGATTACATCTGTGGGAAGAAATAAAAAAGAATCTGAAGCTCGGTTGCCAAAATGAAGGCAGGGAATGACTATGGGAAAATCTTTAATTGCTCAAATGTAAGTTCAGGTTAAAATTGAATAAAATTAAAGCGTGTACACAAGAGCCCAAATCTGACCTTGAGAGTACCCCACATGAATTTCAAGACCATCTCAACCATACTTTTGACTCATTGAACACTGATGAAAGAAGACCAGCTGAGCCATGGAATGACATCAGGGACACCATACATGAAGAAATCAAAAGATCATTGAAAGTATAGGAAAGAAAGAAAAAAACCAAAGTGGACTTCGGAAGAGACGCTTATACTTTCTCTTATTTTTAGAGTGGTTAAGGCAAACAGAAGAAAAGATGAAGTAAAAGAACTGAACAGAAAAATTCAGAAGGCAGCTCCAGAAGACCAAGTATTTTAATGAAATGTGCAAAGACCTGGAGTTAGAAAACCCAAAAGGAAGACCACACTCAGCACATCTAACGCTGAAAGACCTGACAGAAAAGTCCACTTCTCAAATTCCAATATTGGAAGACTCAAGGCAGAGTACTGAAAGATGCAGGAAGCGTCAAAAGAAGAAGGAAGAAATACAGAGTCCCTGTGCCCAAAAGAACTGGTTGACAGTAAGAGACTTCAGGAAGTAGCATATGATCAAGAACTGGTGGTACTAAATGCAGACATTCAAGCTACAGTGAAGGAAATCGTCACAAATAAGTCTCCAGGAATTGACAGACTACCAAAGGAAATGTTCTACAAATTGATGAAACACTACAAGCACTCATTTACCTGTGCCATTACATTTAGAAGACAGCTACCTCCCTAACTGACTGGAAGAGATCAAAATTTATATCCATTCCAAAGCAAGGTAACCCAAGAGAATGCTCAAATTAGAGGACCATTTCATTAATATCACATGCAAGTAAAATTTTGCTGAAGATCATTCAACAATGGTTGCAACAGTACATCAGTAGGGAACTGCCAGAAATTCACACTAGTTTCAGAGGAAGATGTGGTAGGAGGGCTATCACTACTGATGTCACATGGATCTTGGCTGAGAGCAGAGACTACCAGAAAGATGTTTACTTGTATTTTTATTCACTCTTTAAAGGCATTCAAATGTATGGACCCTAAACAACTATGAATAACATTGACAAGAGTGGGAATTCCACAACACTTCATTGTACTCATGGAGAACATATGTAGACAAAGAGGCAAAGAACAAAATACCATATATACTCTTGTATAAGCTAAGGTTTTGTTTTTGTTTTTCTTACAGAAATGTGCCGAAATAAAAGATAAACATTTTTTATTACAAAGGTTTTCACAAACATGAAAATAATATCTGAAAAGGGAAAACTAGACTGGTGCCCTTCAGCTGCAGAGCTGGGGTCCTGGAGGACAGGCAGTGAGAGTGGGTTTGCTCACTTGGGGCCAGGCTGCAACAGTGGGGCAGGGGTGGGGGTTGTCAATGAGAAAAGAACCCATCCAAAATCTTAAGGAGCCTTGAAGAAAAAGTGCAAGGGCCCTGAAAGGCCCAGCCAGACCTAGATTGTTCAGTATGGGTGTCTTTCCAAAGGAGGGCCCCTCACAGCAGGATTTTGTCCTGTGACTATCTAAAACTATCTTTTCCACTGAAAAAGAACAGCCAAGCTGGCAAGGCAGCTGCTGGAGGTTTACCTAGCCATGCTGCCCGGGGCCAGCTCAGGGCCCTGGTTGTTGTGTAGTCCCTGGAGATATTTATATTTAATATATTTTTATATAAATACACAGGGAAATAGAAAATATAAACTCTGAGGGGTTAGGGAAGACATGTCGGGAACTTTGCAAGAATCTGGAGCTGGAGAGGTCTGCTCAGGTCAACTTGACCTGCTCCTTGACCCCTTTGGCTTCAAACGTCTCCTCCTTGGCTTTCTCCTCTTCTGTGATTTCTTTCTTCCCCTCTGGCTCTTTCTCTTTGTCATCCTCTATGTTGACTCTCGTCTTTTTTGAAGTTGGACGAGTTTTTGCGGCCATGCTCTCCCTCTTCATCAGAGTCAGAGAACTCTTCTTCACAAGCAAGTCGCTTGTCAGAGGAGCAGAGTGAGATGCGCTTCGCGGGGCCCTCTTCGTCCTTGTTGTCACTTTCCTCTGGGACGGTGTCCTCAGGATCATTTGCATCTGGACCCCAAGGGCGTGGGGCGACATCCTCAGGTTCTCAAAGAGTCTCTGCTTGATCTTCTCCAGGTACTCATTAGTGTTCAGGTTGGGCATGTTGGAAGGGCTGATGTGAAGCTTGAAATCTGGTGTGAAGTATTCAAAGGAGTCGTTGGATGGAAGCTCATTGGGGATCTCTATGCTCATGGCCCCAGCTGTCTCATATGTCCAGCACCGTATGACATTGCGAATGGTGTAACCACCTCCTCCCAGCATCAGCATCGACAGGTTGAAGTTCCTCACAAATTCTACACACTTGGTGTGCCCTTTGAATCTTTGATGGTCAGGTTGATCCCTGACCACCTAGCCGATCCCCAGACAGGGAGTCAGAGCCACACTGGAGGATGACCACACCCGGCTGGAACATCCCCATGACCTTGGAGATGACTGGCCTGACAATGGCTTCAGAGGACTCGGTGTCAATCCCATCTCAGAGCGGGTAGTTAACAGCAAAATACTTGCCTTTGCCAGCGCCAATATCCCGCAAGTCCCCGGTCCCTGGGAAGTACCCCCCATATTGTGGAAGGGCACGGTCATGACCCGGTCTGTGGTGCAGAAGGCCTCTTCCACGCTGACTCCATGGTGAATGTCGATGTCAATGTAGAGCACCCTCGGGTGATACTGTAGCAGCTCCAGGATGGTCCAGACGATGTCATTGATGTCGGACTTCTTGGCATGCTGCAGGCCCCTGCCCTAGTTCACAGCGATGTCCGACTACTGCTGATTCACTTGTCACAGGGCCGCCAGTGGACAGCTGGCAGAACTCAAACAGCCCACCAAACACCGGACAGTCCTCACCAACGTTGAATCTCTGTATCTGCTTGCTGTACCCCGACATGTTATCCGGGGGGATGGAGCGCAAGAACTTGATGTAGTCGTCACTGGGGAACTTCTTGGTCATCTCCTCTGCGTTGGCTTTGTGAGGGCGGTAGATTTCCATCCTTCCGTTGAGCAGCAAATTGTGAGTCATGCGAATTCAATGGGGCTTCATCGGATGACCTTGTCCATAATAGTAATTTCCAACGTCCCCATCGTCGCAGCAACAGACTTTCCTCCGGGTGCCCTGAGTCTGTGCCATCTTGCTCGCCTAACGTCCCTGCCATCAGTTGGTCCATCTGCCCTCCTGCTGGTGACTCCACCTCTGACCCAGGGAGGAGGGGGCGGGCCCCAACCCGCCTAAGCCAAGTTTCTCAGCACATTTTTAATACAGTTTCGTGGTAAAATTAGGTGCCTCGGCTGATATTCGGGTCAGTTTATGCTAAGTATAAAAGGTAATATTGTGTGGTTTAAAATCAGGAAAGCTTTGTGTCATGGTTATTCAAATCTGTATGCTGAGCAAATCATCAGAAAAGCTGGGCTACATGAAGAAGAACACATTAGGATAGAAGGAAGGGTTATGAACTACTTTTGATGTGCAGATGACCCAACCTTGCTTGATAAAGTAAGAGAACTTGAAGTCCTTGCTGATGAAGATCAAGGGTTGCAGCCTTCAGCAGGGGTTGCAACTCCCTGGGAAGAAAGCCAATATCCTTACAACCAGACCAATACACAACATCATGATAAAGGTAGAAAACGTTGATGCAATCAAAGATTTTCCTTGGATCCACAATCAATGCTCCTGGAAGCAGCAGTCAAGAATATAAACAATACATTGCATTGGGCAAACCTGCTGCACAAGAGCACTTTAAAGTGTTGAGGAGCTAGGATGTTACTTTGAGGCCTAAGCTGAACCTGACCCAAGCCATTGTATTTTCAGTTGCCTCCTATTCATGTCAACGCTGGGCATTGATTAGGGAAGCTGAAGAACTGATGCCTTTGAATTATGGTGCTGGTGAGGGATATGGAAGGCACCACGGGCTGTCAGAAGGATTAACAAATCTGTCTTAGAAGATGTACAACCAGGATACCCCTTAGAAGCATTGATGGTTGAGACTTTATCTCACGCACTATGGACATGTCAGCAGAGGCTAATGCCTGTAAAAAGACATAATCCATGGTAAAGTAGGAGAGCAATGCAACAGAGGAAGACCATCAAGGAGATGAATTGACACAGGGTCTGGAACAATGGGCTGGGATTCAACAACTGTGAGGCTGGCACAGGACCAATATACAGCTGCTGAGCAGGAATTGCCTTGAAGGCATTTAACAACAACAATAACCGCAACCACAAGGTAAGTTGTCAAGAGTGCTTGAGTGGGGCACAGCACACTTTTGGCTGATCAATTAGAAGGCTGGCTTTTGAAAGAAATGGTCACCTCGGAAGAAAGCCTTGGAGACTGATTTCCCTAAAAAGCAGCTATTGGAAACCTTCTGACCCACATGGTATTGCCACAGGTCCGTGGCCACTCAGGGGTGAATGCTGGTGGTTTGACTTTCAAGTTGTCACTTGTGCACAACTGTTTTCTTGGTGTTCCACATTTTAAGAGTATATACTGTATTTACTTTCCTTTTTGGAAGCAATTAAAAAAGTCATTTAACTAAAACATTAATGTGCAAATATTTTTAATGTCAAACACATTCATGTATATTCAATAACATGCTCATTTTATTTTCTGTATTAAGCTTTACTGTAATTTCCTCTTTTCTTCCCAATCACATGTCTGTGATTTTTCAAGTTCCTAAGCAGATACACATTTTGTAGAGTTGTCCACAGAAATGTTTATTCTACTTACGTTGAAAATGCATTGTTCTGTTTTTCACATCTTATTCCTTTGCAGCTTAACCCTTTTGTTTCTTCATAATAGAAGTACAATTGATTTAGGCCATTTGCGAATGCTAGCAACACAAGGCAATATATGAAGAGAAACTTCAGAATATCCAGGAGCATTCTTCCTAGAGAGATCTGCAAAGGTCCCAGGTGAGAATTTGCAGTAAACAGTGATATCAGGCGCAGGGAGCTGAAGATGTTTGCGATTGCGAATAATGCCTCTGCCACCAGAGTGGGATGCCACATGTCCCAGGATTCCCGTGGATTGAGAGCACTGTACTGGAGAAAACAGAAAAGACAATAAACCAAACTGGTGAATTGGATCCTATCAAATTCAACCGTGCAGTATCTTTCCCAATTCCTCCCATCCAGTGATTTATTGTCAAAAAGTTGGCATCTTCCATGATAATGGGAAAATATTAATCTACACAAACATAAAATACCACAAAATAACTCATAATTCATGGGATAAAATTAAAGTGACTTGTACTGTTTCTTAATCTGTGGGTGGCATCTTTACTTGAATTTCCAATGGATCTTCAAACAAAAAGGAAATATTTGTCAGAAAATAATAAATCTGATTTTACATTAGATAAAGAGAGCATCTGTTGAAAAGTAAGAAAATGTCTATAAAAGAAAACTTAAAAAATTTAACATAGTAACAATGGCATTATAATATTTGACATTCTTAGCTACTCTACCAGAAAACATATCTAATACAAATTGCACAAAAATGAGTATGAGCAGTGGTCAATTGCTTTGAAAATAACAGTGACTGAAATGGCCATAACTGTTAGTGCTTTGCATCTGTCATATTGTAAATGCAAATAAAATCCAACTTGGAAATAGGCATGAGACTCAACTAATTGCTATTTTTTTTCTATCTAAGAAGTAGAAAATGTAATATTTACCTCAACATTCATTATTTACTAAAATGAATTATATAGAAATACATTCACTACTTTAAAACATTTGCTTATTTGACCCAAAGTCATTTAAAAATAAGATTTAACTAATGAATATGTCAGCCTTGAATTATCCTGATATTGAGCCTTATAAAAATACAATATATTTACTCCTAGACTTTTGTGGTACATTTATATCCCTCATTAAAAAGGGAGAGATATGTTCTTTGAAATGATGTAATAAAATACTTGGAATTAAACCTAGGAACTGAACAATAAATTCAGCAAGTGCTGCTATAAAAGAAATACCACTGGTGGATGGTATTAACCAACAGATCATTATTTTATCACAGTTTAGAGGCTAAAAGTCTAAGTTTTGTATCTCAAAAGAGATGGATTCAAGATACACTGTGCATTGATCATGACTCATTAACAGAACAAAGGCAACCTGTTCCCAAATGAAATTATCACCATGGACATGAAGTTTGGTTTATAGCACATATTTTTGTGGTACATATTTCAATCTCTAACCATGCTTTGTCCCCCAAAGAGCCCTGTTTTTGACACACGCAAAACACATTTACCCATCACATTATCCCAAAAAGTCCTAACTCATCTCTATGTCTAAAATCTCATCTTCTGAAACATCTCCATCAGTTGAGTGAGAGCTCAGGCGTATTCTATAGCGGGGCAAAATTCCTCTTGATTTTCAAACCTGGGGTATCTAGTTTATGGGTGATGAGTGTCCGTAGCATCATGGTAGAACCAGCACAAAGTACACATTTCCATTACAAACGGGAGACAGTGGAGGGAGGAAAGAGACCACAGGCTCCAAGGAAATCCAAAATGCAACAGGACCATTTACGTTAGCTCTAAAGGGTTGGCCATTATCTTCTCTTTCTATTCTTCACTCAGTCGTCCACGGATGGCTCTTTCCTTTCTTAGAGACCAACCGAGAGAGGTCCTTTGGCTGGTTTCCTGCCTGTGGATTCCCAAGAGGCGAAATGCTCTTTCCTTTTGTTCAGTCTTTGTGCGTCCTTCAGTCCAAACTAATGGATTTTCTGCTGTGGCAATCAGTTAGAACCACCCGTTACTGGCTTAATCTCTTTAATGAAAGTTTGTCTAGGAACATCCGTGGTATTAGGACACATGTCCTTAGATTGTGTAACAGATTTTTCTACTCTTTAAACTTTGTTTTGCTTTTACACAGTTCATTTTTAAATCCATCTCTTTCCTCTTGCATTTCCCTATAATTAGCAAGAAAGAAATGCACAGAACCTTTAAGGTCTAGTTTAGAAATCTCCTCACCCCAATACCCAAGTTCAACACTCACAGGTTCTACAATCTATCAAACTGTGAACATAATTCAGGCAAATCCCTTGCTCTTACATACAAAGCATTTTCCTCCATCCATTTTCCAACACTTGCTCATCTTTTTCGTTTAAAGCCTCACCAGAAACATTTAATATACATATTTCTATCAACAGCCTTCTGCTGGTTGCGTACCCAGTCTCTAGATGACGACCTGCCATTGAGCCATCCTCACTTCCTTTACTAAAACTGGTGTTGAAAATGTTCCCACCAGTCTCTTCAAGGCCATCTCGGCTTTTTCCATCTTCCCACCAACCCACCGTCATCAACTAGAACCGTGAGGTAGGTTGAGCACTGGGCTGCTAACCATCAGTCCACCTGTTCAAAGCTGCTCCGGAAGAGACAGAGGAGGTTATCTGTTTCAGTAAATACTGATCGTCTCAGAGAACTATGCTGTGCTATGCTATTCTTTCTATCCACTTGCTTTGAGGCTTTTACCCCTAAGCACCTGGGAACTCTTACAGCCTCTACTCATTATCCAATTGCAAAACCATTTCCACATAGTAGGTATATGTTAGAGCAGAATCACTCCTCATGCCGCAACCTGTGTGAGTTATCTAAGGCTGCTATAGCAGAAATACCATAGTGGATGGCTTTAACAAACAAATTTAATTTCTTATAGTTTCCAAAATTCCAAAATCACTACCATCGAGTGAATTTCAACTCATAACAACCTTGTAAAACAGGGTAGACTGCCCCTGTGGATTTCCAAGATTGTAACTCTTTAAGGGAGTAGAAAATCTGATCCTAAAGTCTAGTGGCATGGGGGGTTAAAAGTTGGGTTGTGAACCATAACGTCAACAGTTAAAAACCACTAGCTGTTTTCAAATGAAAGATGAGGCTTTCTACTCCTATAAAAAGTTACAGTCTCAGAAATCCACAGGGGAAGTTCTCCTATATCCAACAGAGTCATTATGAGTCAGAATTGACTTGCTGGCAATGTGTTTTCCTGTAGTTTCAAATGCAAAAACAAACTCCCTGCCATCTGGTTAATTCAGACTCACTATACCAAGTTCAGGAGGCTGGAATCTTAGTGGAGGGGAAGGGGTTCTCACTCCGTTGGCTCTGGAAGAAGGTTTTTGTTTCTTCTGAGCTTCTACCGCTTTGCAATCTTCCTGTGGGTTGGCATTACATTCTCTTTATCTTTGCTTGATAGCTTGCTCTTAATTTCTTTTATATCGCAAAAATAACTGACTCAAAATATACCCTACTCTAACCCTGTCTCATTAACATAACAAGGAACCGATTTCCAAATGGGATTAAAACCAAAAGGAACACATTCTTTTGTGGGTCACAGTTCAATCCATAATGATTGACTTCTTCATGATCCCAACTAAGAAATGTCTAGACAACTTGCTAGTTTTCTGAAAGACCACTTCAGAACACAAAAAGCAACAAGCCAAACAAAAGCCAATTATCCATCAGGATAGTTCATTCTTTTGTATTTTTAATACCAAAGACCTTTAGAAGTGTTAATCAATCAATTCTCCTTGACACTAGCATATAGTATTTTTTTTATCTCCCTCAGGAGAAAAATACAGCACATGCTCCTTATCTTATTCCACATTCAATTCTTGTGTGACAATGTAAAACAATCTATTGTGAACAGGAGGGAAATTATTTTCTATTTTAAACCCGGGCGACTGTGCTTGAACATTTCCAAGCATAATTTACGTGTGAAATAGTTAATGCTTAAAGTTGCAGAAAATATTAAGATTCTTGTCTTCATCTTTATCACAAATGAGAGTGGGGGTTTGGGCTACTAGACACTACAGTATTCTCTGCACTTGGATTTCCTGTACATGGACTCTCTTCTCCTTTACGATGACATCGCCTTCCTTTTTGTGAATGACACACATTTTTAATTGAAGAATGGCACTTCACGTGGTGATAACCATTGCCAAAATACCTCCCGTACTCTGAAAACCCTAATATGGTTTATGACTATATATCAGATCCACAACATCTGAGAGTAAGCATGGTGTCCACTGCTCATCTGCTAGCTTGTCCTTTTGTGGGAGAATTAGTGTTGCTGTGATGCTGGAAGCTATGCCTCTAGGATTCAAAATACCAGCAGGGTCAACCTGTACAGGCAGGTTCAGTGGAGCTTCCAGATGAAGACACTCAGAGAAGAGTCAAGGAGAAATTCACAGTCTTTGTGACCAAAACAGAATGATTAAATTTAACTCAGTTCTTGCTAAATTAGACTATTCTTTTTATCTAACTGCCTGTCTGAGAATCATGTTTGCCTCACTGACAAGCTCCTGTTATCTGCCTATGCTAATTATTAGAGGCCATAAATAACCAAAGGACAGTCCTTTCTATTGTGAAGAAGAAGGTTTTTAACACAGATATATTGGTGGCAAATGGCCTTTAGAAAAATTCCTTACATGAACAGGCTAAGGAAAGAGTTTCAAGAAAAGCTTGAAACTGCTGAAGGTTTCACCGAAACAAACAATTTCTAACGAAAACGCCTTGGTGTTTTGATCAGCTCCAGCCGCAGAGAATGCCTCCGTCAATATTTTTATAGCCTGTTTTAGAGAGCATGCATTGTGAGCATTTTGTGACCATGAACCTAAATTTCGTAGGCGAGACATAAGTACGCATTTTTATTATTAGGTGACTTTCCCACTTTTTAATTCTTCTGTCTGTGACTTTATTCAAAACTAGCAAGTAACTGGTTTTGACATGACCTCTTTGTTCCTTACCCTCTATGCATCCTGTTGACAGTCAACTCCGAACTCCCCATGTTTCCTGACCGAAGCTGGTGATTTCCTTTTATCCAGGTGTCTCCCCAGTCCCAAATAAAGCCTGCGAATGTCCTTTGAAGGTCTGAGTGTAGTTGTTGTCCTACGACAATTGGGGACTCATAAAGGATTCAAAAAGTGACCCTCTTTTGGGGACCCAAAGAATCAGGGACTGGATTCTAGTGCTGAATTTCAAAGCCCATTATTTTCCCCTTACTGGGAATGTGGATCCGCTGTTCAGAGGTGAACCCTTCTG